AGAGCACTCCAGAGCCGTCTTAACCCCTGCCAACTGCTGCCCCCCCGGATCAAACCCCCACACCCACCAGCACAGAGGTGAGATATGCGCAGCGGGGTCAGTCGTGGGGTGGGAGCTGCAGAGTCAGCCCTTTGGTCTGACTGTGCCTGTGTCCCTCTACCCACAAACTCCTTCGAGCTTTGCTGGAAGCCTGGAAACCCCTCCTGAGTTACTGGGGATCTACCCTGCTGTCCTGGGGACTTCGTTCAGTCCTTTTGTAGCATGTAAGGTTGCAGTCTGGGGAGGCAGGGGCTCACCTCACCTTCTGGGACTCATGTCTTCTCATGGGGCTGCCAGGGGCCTGGTCCTTTGTCCTGGAACCTGCTGCAGAAGTGTGGGCCCACTTTTGGACAGGAGTGGGGGTACAGCAGGACTAGCTCTGTGAATCTCTTGCAGGACCTTACCCCTGGCAGCGTGGAGGAGGCGGAGGAAGCAGAGCCTGATGAAGAGTTCAAAGATGCTATCGAGGTTTGAGGCTGGTGTGGGCAGGCTGTGCCCGCAGGGCAGCTGAGGTGGGAAGGGGTGAGGGCTCAGGGAGCGTGGCTGTGGGGCTGGGTGCCTCTGACTCCATCTGTACTGCCTCTCCTTTCTGTCCCATGCTGCGGGAGAAGGAGAACCAGCTGCTGGTCATGGTGAGTACTGCCATGCCAAGGTGTGCAAGGGCATCTCCTCCCAGCTGGAGCTGGCAGCGTTTCCATGTTTTGCTAGTGGCTTGTGGTGATGCCAGGTGGAGCATCCTGTTTGATGGGTGCCCATTTCTGGGGAGGGGGCTGCCCTGCAGCTCTCGAACATGCCCCCCAGTACCACTCTGCTCTCTGCAGGAGGATGACGAGAGCTCTCAGTGCTCAGCAGATTTTGACCTCAGCCTTCCGGACAATGGTTTTATGAGCAAAAATGAGGTGATCCGCAGCAAGGTGTCACGCCTGACGGAGCGCCTGCGCAAGCGCTACCCCAGCAATAACTTTGGTAAGGCTGCGAGCAGGTGCTGCTTGGGGAAGCTCGGCAGAGCAGGGTCTGTGCTGCTCCCAGTGGTGACCACTGAACTGGGAGTGGACAGAGTGGCGTAGTACCTGCTAGGGCTGTGCTGACACTTCCACTGATCTTCCCCCTGCGTGGGGAGGATGTTCCCAGCCCTCCTAGGAAGGGCAAGGATGGGAAGGTGCAGCAATGTTGTCTCCGAGCTGAGCCTTTACAACAGCCATGGGTGTTCCTGTACCTCTCTCAGTCCCAGGCAGCAGAGCCCTGCCTGACCTCTGCTCTCTTTCTTCCAGGGAGCTGCACGGGCTGTGCAGCCACCTTCTCTGTGCTCAAGAAGAGGGTGAGTCTTTGGGTTCTACCCCAGCTTGCTGCCTGCACCCGGGGCAGAGGTGTTGCATGTGTCTGGCTCACCCTGGCTTTCTCCGACAGCTGGCTGCAGTCACAGCCTGGCAGGAGATGACCTCAGCTAACTGCTGGGTGTCGCATTCCTAATGGTGTCAGGGATCCCTTGTGCTGTGGAGCCTTTTGTCTATTTGCTCCTTTGGAAACTGCCTCAGGCCAAACCTGTGTGTGCTGGTGTAGAAGGCACCTGCTCTGTGCCCTGGTTTAGCCCATTTCCTGTGGCCTGAGACCTTTCTGGTGAAGCAGAGCATAGGTCTGCTTGTGGGAACTGGAGGAGCAAAGGCCACCCCTGTTGTCTTATCTGAGCCCCTGCGCATGATGCTTGGCACGCAGTCCCCTGGACAGTTCTGGGAAGGATGTCTCTCTTGTCCTCTCCAGTCTCACATTGCTGTCTTCCTGCTGCCTTCCGTTCGCCAGACTTGTTGCCCCCTTCCTTTACTCCTGGGTTAGCCTGATACATATCTGGGACTCCTTGGAGCTTGTGTCCCTCCAGGGTTACAGCATAGGAAGTGATATAGTGTCCTTAAACCTCCTGGAGCCTGGGCTCCCAGTGCTTTCTCAGGCTGGGCACAGGCTGCCTGTCATGTTGGAGCATACTTGAGTGCAGATCCGGTGTTAGGCCTGGGCGGTTTGTCCAGGTGTTATTGGCAGATGACCCCTCTGCTGTTGGGGCTTGGGGCTTGCACCCACTCCCCTTCAGCAGGGAATGCTGTTAGCAGTGCTCTGGCACTGGAGTTTGCTGGGGAGGGCTGGAAGTGGGCCCGGAGTAGTGTGTCACCTCCATTTCTCTCCACAGCGGAGCTGCAGTAACTGTGGGAACAGTTTCTGCTCCAGATGTTGTTCCTTCAAAGTCCCCAAGGCTGTGATGGGAGCCACGGGTGAGTGAAAAGGTAGAGGAGGGCAGAGGTCCTGTTCCCGCCTGCGCTGCCTGCTGCAGGGGTTTGCCCCAGCCAGGGGCACCTGCCCAGCACAGCCTGGCTCAGGACAGAGTGGTGATGGGTTTGCAGCTCTCGGAGCAGCTCCGTGGCTGGGGTCCCTAGCCCGTGGTGCGGAAGGGGAGCATCTCTGACACCTGCTTTCCTTTCCAGCTCCAGAGGCTCAGAGGGAGACAGTGTTTGTGTGCGCTCTCTGCAACCAGGTGCTCATCAAGTGACTGAAACAGGCCCAGCCAGCTCCTGGGTCCTGCACTGGCTGATACCTGGGACAGTGGGCGCCCTTGCAGCCAGGAGCCTGGGCTGCTTGGTTCCCAGCATGGTGTTGCCCTGCCAGAGGATGCTTGTGCTCGCTGCTCCTCCTGCCAGCGCCAGGCTGGGGGCAGACCAGCCCTCCTTGCCACGCAGCATCTGCCACGCCAGCTGGGTCCCTGTGGCAGAGCATCGCCCACAGCTGTACCCCCATCCCTGCAGTTGCTCCCTGGCAGCTGCTCCAAGCCCTGGGTGCTGCCTGGCACTCACTCTGCCCTGCCGCATACTTGCCCAGGCCCTGTGGCCTGGCTTGGTGATGGAGGAGCCATCCTTCCCACTTGTGGTCCTACCTCCACCTCCTAGGTGGGGCAGAACAACCTCTGGGCTCTGTCCCTACCTTCCCAGCATTGTGCTTAGGTGACTGTATTTTTGGGATCAAGTCAGAGCTCTACCTGCATCCCCAGGAGATGCGGTCTCTGGTCCTGGCTCAGCTGAGACCCTGCTAGTCACTCCTGTGCTCCTTGGCCTCACTGCCTGCAGGTTTAGTCTTTTCCCCCCCATACTTGGCTGCAGTGCAGAGGGGGCAAGAGGGTAAGTTTGGGCTGGGCAGGGTGGCCGGGTCTCCAGCTGCAGCATGAGAAGAGGCACGAGTTGGTGCTGCTCTGTGCACTTAGTAACTGCTGCTTTCTACTACAGATTAATATATAAGTGTATATAGAGAATGACCAATAAATCTCTTGCCCTCAGCTGGCTGTTGTCTTGCCCCAGTGAAAGCTGTCCCAGTCCCAGGTCACCCCAGCACCTCTGTGGCCTTGGCCTCGCTGTCCTGCAGGTGGTCATGGAGAAATGATGTGTCTGCCGCCAGCTCTCCTTGCTTACTGGAGGTTTCCATCGTCTGTCGTCCTGTGGCCTTGTTTGCCCCTGGCTCAGGGTCGTCCTGTGGCCTTGTTTGCCCCCGGCTCAGGGCTGTGTGCAGCCGCCCCTCCTTGGCTGTGCCAGGGCTGGATCCTGCTGGGCTGGATCAGCTCTGGCAGGGGCTGCTGGGCTTCCTCTCTGCTTCCCGGGGGCCGCTTCTTCCCCTGCCCTACCCAGGCGGTGGTCCCAGCAGCTGCCTGTGCGCACAAGGGTGACCTTTCCCTGCGTGAACAGCAAAGCTCCCAGCTATCCCAGGAATGTGACCCTGGCTGCCGTGCAGCTGGGAATGGTCGTGGCCTGGGTCCCTGCCAGCCAGCTGCAGCTCTGGCCGGGAGGTCTGGGGGGGCTGGTGTTCTTGGGCTGGCATTGCCTAGTGCCCACGGGGCTGTGACACCCACCAGCCTGAGAAGGTGCTGAGGACCCAACTCTCACTGCTGATTGTACACCCCACCAGTGTGGGAGCTTGTGTGGGGCAACCTGAGCCTTCCTCTTGGCTGTGGGCTCATAAACCCCTTCCTTGAGCTGTGCTC